GGCTCCCACCCCAGAGAAGTCTCTCTCTCAACTGTAATTTTGTTTCTCATAAACGCACGAAGTTAACTTTTATCCCCACCCTTTCTCCTCATATGTTCTTGCTCCCTACAACGGTCGCGTCGCTATTGGCTAAAGGTGATGGCGTTGTACACTAAATTTGGCCAATAGGGCTCTGGCGGAGTATAGGAATTTTCCATTCTGTTTCGAAAGTAGGTCACGTCTCTGAATGGGGCTTCCCGGCTACTGAATGATTGCTTCGGGTTTCCCCGATCACGATGACAGGCGTTTCGGACGTATTCCAGATGTGGGCTGCCGCTTTTACAATTTACCCTTTCTTCGGCTGTTGGGTGGGGTGTCATAAACATTCGAAATGGGTAAGGGGATCGTGGCTGTTGCAAGAAGGGGGGCTGCGCGCGTGACGCCGTATGTTTTTCTTCAGTAAAAAATGTCTTAGGTCTGCTTTACTCAATTTAATTTATCTTAATAATTTTGTACCGCTACAGTACCAAATCGTATTAGCTCTTTTAAATGCCAGTGGTTTGTCCATACCAGACCCGTTGTCTGAGCAGCTCATGCCGCAGTGTGCGTACACTGTGGAAAACATGGAACGATTCCAACTGCTCCGCAGATTGAAGGTGTATGAAGTGTTCTGGGAGTCATCCACCAGACTCGAACCAGTACCCCATCTTCTTGAAAAGGTAGGGAGATCCAGAAGATCCGGGTCTCAGAGAAAGCTTCCTTTCCGGACGCACGACGTCGATACACTAGTCAAGACGACTCTGCAGGCATCAATCTTCATCAGAGAAGGAAAAAGATAAAAAAGAAACCAGTCACAGAACTTCCTACAAGAAAAGAATCTTAACACTTTGAAATAAAAGCTCTCGTCGTAAACCTCAATGGCTTTCGGCTAGACGAATTGAAGTTGATAATATCTCTTACAAACCCGTTGTTATCTGCCTGCAGGGCACATCTTTCAGAGCACTCCATCTCTTCAAGGCTTTGTTGCTACATTGTCTTGCTAAAAGACATCGATGATGGCGTTCGAGCTCATGGCAGAGGCGCTACATTTGTCACAGACGTCCTGGGAAATAAACGTACGAACAACTCTTCAGACACCTTGCGTTTGTGTGAACATCCGAATGAATTATCGATAACTATTAGCAACGTCTATATCCCACCTGTGTCGCAAGAGGAACGTAAGGATGTGTTTTCTCAGTTGCCTGCCCCTCGTATTGTAGGGGACTTTAATAAATGCCTCAATTTAATCATGCCCACAATCCTGCCTGGGGTGGCACAATGACCTGCCCGAGAGGCTATACACATGAAAATATTATTGACAATCAGAACTTAAATCTTCTGAATACTGACGAAAGCACACATTTTCTTTGGCTTCAAATACTCTCGTTAGTTGATCTCGCTCTTCGCAATCCATCTCTCTCTACAATCTTTGAGTGCACTGACCTTGGCGACCTTCATGGCAGTGACCACTTTGTCAATTTCGACATTTCCGATCAAACGTCCGTCCTCGCTGGCTAACCAATCGCTCTGAGTGAGAAACATTTGAGAAAGAAATACGGATATCGGGAACCGCCCAAATGATATCGATGCCCATGTTACTGAAGTACACTTCCGCTATTAGAATTTCGAAGTCGCCGGGTCGCCCACGAGATCCTCCCGTGTCAAGGTGGAATGCCGACTGACACCGCGGTGCGTGATCGGAAGCGGGTATTGGCAAACTTAGGCAAACCAACCATGGATAATCTGATTAATTATTAAATATAACAAAAGAGATATAGATTGACCATACGGGAAAGTAAGGCCGCGTCCAGGAGAGCTTATATTTCATCACTCTCTTTCTGTACGCCCCCTAAAGTAGTGGGGGCAAAAGGTTCGACAGATCGGCGAAAGACTTTCTTCGCCGTCTGTCTCAGGGCTTTTCGTAAATGGAAATCTTCTCGCCTCACCAGAAGATGTAGTTGAAGAATTGGCCTCTCACTACTAGCATATCTCCAGCTCCGTTCACTATCCTCCTAGCTTTTTCAAGACTAAAACAAGAATGGAGAACTGCAGACTAGATTTCTAGAGTCGCATGGAGGAAGATTACGATGCTCCTTTCTCCACGGATGAATTCTCCTGTGCCTTCGCTTCTGCAAAAGATTCTGCTCGAGGACCAGACCAGATTAGATACAGAATCAAATGCTTAAACACCTTCCGGAAAATGCTCGTTCTTTTCTTCTCCGTTTTCAATCTGATTTCGAAAGATATTTCCGTATCAAGGATTTTGCGTGTAGCCATTGTTACTCCAGTCCCTAAAGGAGGAGAGGACAGAAAAAATCTCTTTAAATATCAGCCCAAGTTCCGTAAGGGGTTGTGTGTGCAAGCATTTAGAGCGAATGGTAAACACGCCTGGTCACGTTCCCTGAAAAAAGAACCTTTTTACTACTTTTCAATGTTTCAGGAAGCACAGGTCAACCATTTACCACATAATCTCCTTTGCCAAACATATCTTCACTTGTGTCGTGCTACGACAACACATGCTAGCAATGTTTTCGACATAGAGAAACCGTATGACACCACCTGGAACCTTACGGCAATCATCGCGCCTTGCTTTCTGGGGATTAGAGGACGGTTTTCTTGGTTTCTAGTGTCACCCTGTTTGCCATTGCTATCAATAGTATCGCATCAGTAATTCGTGCCTGTGAAACCATCGCTCTTCGTTGATGACTTTGCCATATTCTTCTCCTCGAAGAGCGTGCAAGTTATTAAGAGGCATTTACAGTTTCTCAACAAACTGCAAAGATGTAGCGGTAAAACTGGATTCACATTCTTCACCTCAAAATCGAGTTGCATGCACTTCCGCAGAATTCGTCGCCTCCATAATCCTGATTATTTTTCGGGGTCATCTCTTCGTGGAATCTTCGCCTGACTTTCGTCAGCTCACTTTCCTTCGCCTCACTTTCCTTTCCATTCGTCGCCTCACTTTCCTTCGCCTGACATTTGACAAGAGTTTAATATGATGAAAGCATTTTTACAACTTGGGGAACCGATGTGTATCGCAATTGATCCTCCTTCGCAACCCTTGCTGGTAGTCCTGTGGCGCAGACCGAGAATGGCTTTTGTGCCTGTGTTGCTCCTATGTTGGGAATGTATCAGCCATAAATAGTCCTTCCCGCCAAGCAGTCCTTCACCCAAATCACAGGTCATGGTACGCACTCAGACCATCGTTATCCCATACTTCGGGTATTCGTCTCGACATGATTTTGCAGAAACTCGATAAAAAACTCTCCATCTCCTTAAACCTCCCTCCCTCTGAAGTCATCTTTCCCCTGGGAAGCTTCTCCGGACCAAAATAGACGTGAGATTTTTACATTTCCCCCAATCCTCAACCTCCCCCCCCCCACCAGTACGTTTCTGGCGGAATTTCAGGAGACAAAATCCATTTAACCGGCTATAACTTCATATATACTGATGGTTTCTCCCAAAATGATAATGTAGGGTGTGCCTTCTATTGCCATAGTGCCACGCGGAGTCTTCAACTAATCTTCATACAGCGCTTATACTGCAGAAAAATGTGGTCTAGGAAGTTCTTAAGCTCACTAGATCGGTCACATTAAAGAATGCAGTGATTCAAAAAGCTCGTCCGAATCTCCTGTTTCCCTTCTTGTGACCCTCTTACAATGATCATCTACACCAAATCCATCATTTAATGATGCGTCGTTGTAATTTGGTTTCTTATTGGATCCCTGGTCACGATGGGATAATAGGGAATGAAATTGCTGACCAAGCAGCAAAGCTCGCCACGAAGAAAACTGAGGTAGACATCCTCTCAGTCTCAACAAATGATACCAGGCTGTTTATCAAACTCTAGATTCTTAATGCATGGCAGAGTGGCATAACTCGGATTTCAAGCTCACAAGAATAAAGGATTCCATAAAAGCTTGGTCTTTCTCACCTCGTGGCTCTAGGCGCGGGGAGATAATTCTGCCGCGCCTTCGAATCTGTCTCGGCCATTTCGCATACGGTCATCTCCGCGATGACTCGCCCCCTGACTTGCGATAGTAGCGAGACGGATCCCACAGTGCAGTATGCTCTCCTGCACTGTTGTAAGGTAAGAGATGACCGCCAAAGCCAGCTTGCTGGCTCCCTAGCAGAGGTACTCGTTAATGAATGTTCTCTCTGCAAGGTTTTTAGCTTTTAACGAGTGACCGACATTTGCAGCATTCTGTGAGAGTAGAAGATATTGCCTTTATTTGGTTGTTAATTTGATATTACAAAGTGTTATCTGGTTCATTTCTGTCAATCCCTTTTTTAAAATAATTGAACACGTTTGTTTTCAGTTTTACTCGTAGCTTACGTAGCATTAAAAAAATTACTCTGTCATTGCTAAAGTGCTTATCAGTATACGTCTGTATTGCTATAGTGTACTTATCTTTAAATAATTGGATTCAGGCACCAGTGACCCTAGGTGTTGAAGCGTTTTTAAACCTTAATCATCATCATCAATGTGTACAGAATCTGAACTGTGCAAAGTTTCTAGTTCAGATGATGGAACTCCAACCTATAATCACTTATTAGACAATCATTTTCTAAAATCTCGTTAATTAATAATATATCTTTCGGATCTAATGCATTATAATAACTTTAAATGAGCCGGCCACGTGAAAAAAAAGTCACGTAAACGGGAACGTAGGGTCACATCGGCCCGTCAACTTTGAGCGGGAATAACACATCACGTTTTTTGTGATAAACTCGAACTAGTCGTAATCTGTCCAGGATGATTCAATTTTATGGTAGACGGGTGCATAAGTTAATAATTAATTTCATTCACGTAATAGACCACTCTATAGATGTCGCTAGGTCAGATAGACCCAACGTTCCCACTGCCGTTCCTAATGAAGTTTTATACATGTATATTTCATGCAACGCATTTAAATTAATAGTATACCGTATGTTTCTCTTATTTGTGCCGTAGGCTACAATACGTTTTTCTTTTCTTTTAGATGGGAGTTCCAATACCAAATCAAGCACTCATCCTGAAGGAGGATATTGCGAAGTTGCAAGGTTGGTGATACTTTTTATTTCCAAGAAGATTGTAGCAGTGGTTTCCAACCTGTTTCGTGTGAACCATTCCAATTTAATATTTACTGGGTTCGCAGCACTCGCTTGCTGAATTGAGTTACTTTCTTCTTCTTCTTTCTTCTTTTTTCTTCTTCTTCCTCCTCTTCTTCTTCCATTGGCAATATAGGCTAATGCATGGGACTACAATTACATTATTCCATTATTATTCTTTCCATTATAGCGTTATTACTCACCATTTATTATAAATTTCATTAAAATTATTAATATTTTTACAAATTTGGGGAATCTCTTGACTACTTGATGAGACAAGTATATTCTTAATATATTTTGAGAGTCACTTAATCGCCACGTCAAATCGTAGAAATTTAAGGAAAATTTGACCTTCATTTCCTTGATTTTTAACTTTTTTTGTGAAGAGTATAAACAGAAATATGAAACACTCGTTTTTCATTTGTTTAAACTTTTTTTGAAAGAATATTAATTTTCAAAATTTCGAAAACATCTTAGCAATGCGCAAGTCAATCGTTATCTCGTGTTGTAATTGTGGCAGAAACTTCATATTTTGCCATAATTAAGAACGAAAGGTGTTCTGTCATTTGATGCATGTATTGAATTTATTTATTTTTTAAATGCATTGTTAAATTTTTTATTTTTCATATTTATTCCTTAACCCGAGAGCAAAAATTCGAAAAAATTCCATTGTATTTTCTGAAGTGTTGTATATAGGTAAATTTCTAATGAGGGCGATGATAGAATCTGGGAAATGAAATACATTAGTAATGTATTCTTAGTGTTTGCTGCAGCGCCTGCCACAGCGACTCCCGCAAGCACATGCAATCAGAAGTAGAGTACGCGTTATACTTTCACAGCATTGTTATTCTTTCACACAGCGATAAATAGAAATATTCTTTCACATTTTAGTATGTCACGGATATATACTTACTACTAAGCTCTAGTTTCATTTTATTTTAAAACCTTAAAAGTAAGTTCTATCAATATATTACGATTTTAAATATTTTGTATGTTCAATGTAGGAATTTGTAGGATTTTTGGAATGTATATTTGTATCAATTACACTTATCCATGTTAGAATATAGATGTTGAATTCTCATAACCTCAATTCATACACATGTATGACCATGTTACCTGAATATGTTTTCGTACTAATATTGCTTGTACCACCAAAGTTGGGTAAAGTTAGCCGAAACTAGTCTGGTATTATGTGTATAATGTGTTAAATTCACTATTTCGACTTTCTCGCACTTATGAACGTAAGAAGAGAGTATTGTAATCGTGCGCCGAAAAACAGCGAATTTTCAACATACAAAATCTTATTGCCGCGCCCTGGTAAGAAACAAGTGGATAAATCCTGTTGCTAAATATAGATTTAAAAAATGTCTAACACGTTGTGTAGCCAGAATCCATGTTTTGTGGGGTGTTAATACCGAAAAATCCTTTGACGACAAAACGTCTGTCCGTCCGTCTGTGCTGAACGCTAGCGCCCGTAATTTGAAACCGAAATTTTAATTTTGGGGCGTACTTTACTTGAAGCCTCTGGGACGTTTTCAAAATTCTCAAAAAAAAAAAAAAAGGCTCCAAATTCTTTGATTACATTTTGTTGTTGAATTGTTCATATGACGTGTAAGAGAATGGTGTAGGTTTCATTTTCGTTGACTTCCCCGATTTGGCGAAAAGTGGGGGGGGGGGGATTAAAAGGGATTAAAACTTGAAAATTGGAGATTATGTTTTGTCCCAATGTCTGTTGTACAAAAGCTCTTTAAAAAAGGTTATGAACAATATTTTTGAAAAAAAAACGAGTAGTTTTTGCGTGTTTTGCGAATAATATTTACTAACAATTTTGAATATCCGCTCAAAATGTGTTCTATAAATTTTATTCGTATGTCACAAGAAACGATAAAAAATGTAGTACTAGTCTCATTTTCGGGTATTTTTTTAATACAGCAAGAAAATCAAAACTACAAAATTGAAGATGGAAATATTTGCCTCAATCTTTTTGTCCTTTTGTCTGTGGTACAAAATTAGGTCTTTAAAAGAGAACATGTACAATATTTTGAAAACACAAGTAAATTTGGCGTTATTTCTGGTTGAAATTATTGAAATATTAGAAGTTTTCCACCAATCACGGGCAACGAAATAATTGAAAGAATGGTGTGAAACATCAAGTAAATTTTAATTATAATTTCTTTTTGAAAGTGCCAATATTAATTCTCATTGTATAATATATACGAGTACATAAAGTTGAAAGTCTGCAGACGGTTTAATGGCAATCATCGTTCCTTCATTCCGGTGGTAAATAATTCTTAAAGAGCTGTGTTATTTAGAACATCATTCATAAAATTATAATGTTGTTCAGTTTAAGATATACAACTGTGGAGTGCAAGCAACACCATCTAGAAAATGAATATCTAGGTGGTGTTGGTGCAAAGGAATGACAAGAGATGCGTTTATAAAAAATAGATCTTCAAATAAGGTCATGTTCATTTTTTTTAAATGTGAGTATTTTTGGTTTAATTTAGAAATAAATATAATGACCGGTTCGAATTTATTGCCCCTCGTTGTTGTTGAGGCTGCGAAATATTGGTTACGTGATTGGGGGAGAATTTGCAGAATTTGCAAAGAGTAGTTTTGTGTGCATCGCCTTGACATGTTCTCGTCAGGCGAGAAAATTTTGAAAAGACCACACATAATTTACAAAGATTAACACTTTGCCTTAAGAATAGTTAGTAATGAAGAGATTGTCATGGTTTCCTTTGTCTGGACGAATATAAACCTCTTTTTTAAAATTATCCTTCCGAATTTCACGCTGCTTTTTGCCGCGTTTCGAATCTCTGGTTCACGGAGACTTCGTGAATTCTTACAGACAAATGTATCAATCAACTTTCAATGCGCCCAGTACGCGTATTGCTTAGCGTCTCTACACGATTGCTGCGGCACTGCTTGCGGCTTGAGATTCGTAAACAATGCATCTCGTCGCGTGTGCTGTTTGAGAGAGAATTTTGTTTTTTCCAAAATTAAACGCGAAATCTTGAACGTGGATAGTTTGAAATGTATCATCTTTTTTAAATACCTTCAAAGAGTAGCTAAACTGAATGTGCTCCACTCGTGGCGCCAAATTTGAATTATTTTGGCTGCCTATGTGCCAACAATTCTTTCTCTCGAGAGGGATGGAACTGGGCTAAAAAATGTAAGGCCAGGACGCCGTAGAACCGACTTTCATTGTCAGTAGGCAGTATAGTGTGCCACAATGTTTTGATTTATCGGCTTTGGACATAATTCAACAAACCCTGAGGCGCAGGGTATTACAGTTGTCGGCAGTGATTCTAATGAATCGAGCGACCCTAGGCTTTAAATGGGACGTCAAATAAATGATAGAGATTTGAATGCGTTTAGTTTAACCGAATGTTTATTTACATGAATTCAAAAGGCGATATTTGATAGAACCCCCGATATAGAGATGATCGCGTTCCCATGCCCCGAGTAAAATAAACAATTAATGAATTGAGAGTACCGGACGTAGCCTTGGCAATTCCATGGAAAAAGAATGGGAGAAAAGAATTAGCACTGAAAAATAGTATTTGGGATAATTCAGTTTTGATTTTATGAGAGAAAAACGAAGTAGCAAACACAAAATCGTGGCTGGATCGGGTAGCCTCAGGTCGCCGGGAACGCCAAGGCCCGTGGCAATATCTGAGAATCGATATGAGGGATTACTAGAATAAGCATTAAAGATTCTTTGGTAAAATACATAATTTTTGTACTGGCCTTGTGGTCGTGCCCGATGCTGTTTTGACCTGTACCTTTCTAACATTGCCTGCAGAGTCAGGGAAAGTCTGAATGATGACTCCAACGTTGCTCAGAGGGGGAGAAGAATCTTCAATTAAAATGACCAGATCATCGTCCTTCAGATCTGGGGAAACAGATTTCCATTTTCTCCGAGCTTAGAGTGAGGTAAGATAATTTCTAGTCCAGAATTTCGAAATAATGTTCTATTGCCTTTTCACCGTCTGATAACGACGGAGTGTCGACAACTCCTGCTTTGATTCTTGATCGAAAGCCAGTGAATTGTGCGAATGTCCATATATTAAACGATTTGAAGTTATTATTAAAACTTCGGTATCGTTCTCAGACCCACCTCAGGGCCGTGAGTTTAACATGTGTTCTGTATCAACAATGTATTCAATTTAGAAAGTGAAATACAATTTTGAACAAGTGAGGGTTTTAAATGGTATTTTAAGGAGCCTACAGCTGCCTCTGCCAAACGAAATGGAGAGCGCAATGGGCAGAACTTGCATTCTACTCCATGTACAGCGAGGAAATGTTTGAGAATCGAGTGTTCCTGCTGTTGCTAAAAATCTTTGATACTCAGCCAACTGACTTTTTACTTTCACAAATGTTTTAGCATTATCGCTATAAATGAATCTGGGGTAGCCCATGCAGAACCCGAATCTTTTTAGAGCCGCTATAAATTCGTGGGTGGTCAGTTTTTCCACTATGTCAATGAGGGCCGCCTTTGTCGCATGACAGACGAATACCACGATCCAAGACTTACAACGTGCCCTGCACCTACCAATGACTGGTTTTGTTAGAAATGGTCCGCAGGAGTTCACTGAGGTAAACTCCCGTGCTTTGATGGCGTAATTCTCGAAGCAGGAAGGTCACCCATTATTTGGGAGGCTGGCCTTGCCCGCCATCTAATGCGAGGTTAGCAATAATGAGTTAAACTATTCTTCGAATTGAAGGAATCCAAAATCTTTGTCATTTGACATTGAGCATGCAAATACGTTAGATGAATCATAGTAAAGAGGGATCTATTAAACGCATGTTCGCGAGGGAGAATAATTTGGTATTTTGTTTCCTGGGACATTAAAGATTGTCTCAATCTACCACCTACTCTAACGATACCATCCTTGTGTAAAAAAGGATGAAGATTTTTTTTAAATTTTTTACTATGTC